ATAGGAATCTTTGGGAATTTATGAGAATCATCACTTAGAAAAAATGTATTAATTAATTAATACAAAATAATAACAATAAGTGTGAGTGGTGCTTGCCATTGCAAAGCACTATACTTTTATTATTATTATTATTATTATTATTATTATGTTAACGCCTAGCTGCCAGATAGCAACGCCCTAGCACACCCTAGCAACTGCCTAGCAAACTGACATAACCCTTGTTTCAGATGATTTATGAAGGCACTAATGTGGGTTAGCCGCAAACGTTTAGAGGCACCAAATCACTTTCCCCCTCAAGGCTACAGTCAGTCTGGGGAATTGCCACGCTTGTCTGCGTCAAAAGAAAACTGAATATTCCACTCCCCTTCCTTTCATTTCTCACAACACTGTGAAACGATAAATGATGAGGTGTTACCACCATTTAGATGGAAATAAGGTTATGCAGAGAGGGGGGACTAAAAATGCTCCCAAAAGGCATAGAAAAGCTCCCAAACAATTCAAGACTGTATAAAATGACTTTATCAGAGGCAGGATGTACCTGTTCCCAGGCGAAGACGTGCTGGTTGAAGTAGAACTGGATCTGCTCATTGGCAATGTTGATGCAGAGCTGCTCAAAAGAGTTCCTCTTAAAGTTTTCAAAGCCAAAGATGTCCAGAATACCGATGTTTAGACCTTTGTCTTCCTCCCTGGAGAGAAATTCAAGGATAGAATTAAGAAAACTGTTATATGGGATTTTTTAAAAATGCACATTCACTCTTAAAAATAAAGGTGCTTCAAAAGGTTCTTCAAGCGATGCCATAGAAGAACCATCTTTGGTTCCACAACAAACCATTCTGTCAATGGTTCTTTAAAGAACCATCTCTTTTATAACTTTTTGTAATTTGAAGAACCTTCTTTCGCCACAAAAACCTTTTGTGAAACAGAAAGGTTCTTCAGATGTTATAAGTTCTTTATGGAACCATTTAGACAAAAAGGTTCTTCTATGGCATCGTGAAGCACCTTTATTTTCAGTGTTGGATGGAACTATTTCCTTCTAGTTTCTGGTCAATTAGGATATGTTCTAAAGTTGCATCTCTCTTGGATGGTGGTCTTGAAAGAATTTGATGCATAATGTTCATATTGGGACTTTTGATTGCAACTGTTGAAATATTGACAAATCTGAGCACAGTTTGAGAAGACTCTCTTCTCTCTTACCCTGACAGGCTGTCTGGTTTCAGGAGAGAGTTGATGCGGTTGACGATCCAGCTGAACAGGCGTCCGTAGAGGGCTTTGCCCATGGCGTCCCGTACCTCAATGGCCTTCTCCACTGTGTTTGACCTGACGATGGTTTCGCCCCGTGTGACCACACAGTGAGAGGTCAGCGCTTCCTGGAGCTCATCCGCACGGATACACAGCAGCGATGCAGCTGAACATACAAACACACCGAAACATAACAATGTGCTTATTTAGATATAGGAACTGCATGCCACTTCTACTGAATACATTTTAAAATACACTTTTAGTACAAGTAACAAGTCAGAACACCAGTTTTGCTACCATCTCACGAAACTGCAGCAAAATTGTAAACAACAAACAAAAAACAAATTAAAATATAAATAAAATATATAATAATATCTCAATAATACAAAAAAACACAACAACAAACTCATTTCTTAAGTACTGTTAGCTTTAGTATCTAGCCAAATTCGTTACCTCAATTAATTTGAAAACCCATTCGCTACTATAGGAAATAAATGTACTGAGATTTGATTTTATTTTGTATACTATTATCGTTTTGCTAACAATTTACAATAAGGTTCCATTTGTTAAACATTAGTTAACTTCATTAGTTAACTTATAAATAAACTATGGTCCCACTTTATATTAAGTTGCCTAACTACTATGTACTTACAATTAAATTAATCATTTGGTACAATGCACTTATTGTGTTATTGAGTTTTGATGTAAGTACATAGTAGTTAAGGCCACTTCATATAAAGTGGGACCAAAACTATTAATCTTAGTTAATGTATTTACAACATTTACTAAAACATTATTAAAATCAAACGTTGCATCTGTTAATATTATTTAACGGACCTGAGTTAACATGAACTAAAACTAACAGTTGTTCATTGCTAGTTAAAGATTAATAAATACTGTAACAAATGCATTGGTTATTGCTAATTAATGCATTAAGTAATGGGGCCTTATGTTACCATAATATTTATTAACATGAATTAACTTTTATTTTTATTTTTCCAGTTTTAATTTTAGTAAATTTTTTATTACAGTTTTGATTTTAGTAATTTTAATTCTTCAGCTTCAACTTACTGTATTTACTTCAGTTAGCTGCCAAGTTTAGGTTTTGGTTTTTCCTCTAATATTTATATTTTATTTTATTTCAATTATGAAAACAATTTTTAATACTTTAAGTTAACAATAAAAGCATTACATTTGGGACACAAAAATCTTACACCGCTATATAGTATATAATGCTATATAGTATGGTTATACATGACTGGTGCCGCATTCCAATTTACATACATACACAAATCAGTAATTGTGCATGTCACTAGTTATGGTATACTTTTAGGTTCATACATTTAAAACTGCTGTCTCTTGCCTTACAATATACTGTATATATATTTTGCTGCAACAGAAACGTTTTGTCAGACTTTTGGACATGTTTTGCCTCGCCGTAGTTCTTCCTGCATTTCCTTTTATAGTCTTTTTCCTGTTCTTGTTTGTGACAGAAGACCCGACCGAATACAGTTAACTCTGTGTGTCTACCCTCCGTTTTTGTTTCCATTTTTTCTCTCAGTGTTTTTGTTTCCATTGTATTTCCCCTTATGGATCCCTTCACCTGCCCAGATTTCCTCCTCCTCCTGCTGGAGCAGGGGGACAGATCTCTCGAGGATCATACGAAACTGCTCCGGCTGTTAGCTAGCACCACTAGCTACCCGGACGACGCGCTCCGCTCATTCTATGAGCGCCGTCGTCCAAAGATGGTCCTCGAGAGAATTTCACCGCATTTGTGGAGTGGATTCTGGCGAGAAACGGCTCGCCTCTCACTGTCGCTCCCGAGGATGATCTCGCCAGATCCACTCCTGACCCAGAGCCCAGCCCACCATCTCCCTGTGGTACGGAGCATCAGCCCGAGCCCACCGATGATAGAGAGCCCATTACCGCCGCGATCAATGAGGTCAACTTGCCTCCTCTCCTCTCTCCTTTTTCCCTGCTGTTCCCGTCCAGCCCTGAGGGGGCTCCCGTTTCCCAGTCCAGCCTGGAGTGGGCTCTGATCCCCGAGGGCAGCCCTGAGAGCCCGGAGGCTCACAAATACCCACCCACGCACCCGCCCGCTCCAGCGCTGTAGTCTGGCAGCCCCTCTGCTCGCCCTCAGCCCACCATCAATACGGTGCGAGCGCCGCAGGTCTGCCATCCTCCATCGTCGCCATGGCTGGAGCATCCCTCACCTCCACCTCCAGCCTCCGAGGCCTGGACTCTGCAGCTCCACCTCGGCTCCTAGCTCCCTCACCTCCACCATCGCCCGTCAATCCACCAGCTCCACCGGCTGCACCTCGTCGCTTCATCCCACCGGCTCCATTGGGCTCCTTCCTCCCGCCAGCTCCACCTTGGTCCTCAGTCGCTCCGGCTCCGCCGTGGATCTCCGGATCTCCACCTCGGTGGCCAGAGCCCTGGGCTCCACCCTGACCCCCCGGATCCTCGGCATCCCCCTGGCTCGTTGGCTCTCTGTCTCTGCCTCGGGCTCCTACACCACCTGCTCCGGACCATTCCTCCTCCATGGCTCCTCCCTCCGTCGGCTCCACCATGGGTCATCGTAATGGCTGTGGCCTGGGTTCAGCTTGACTCTTCCTGCTCCAAGCCCCTCCTGTCTCCTCCCTGGCTCCTCTCTCCTTAGTCACCCCCATTGTCTCTGTCTGCCGGCCCCCTCCCGGGTGTCCGTCCTCCTCCTGAGCCTCCTCCCAAGTTCACACCCATCCTTCCCTCTGTTGTATCTACAGTGCGAGGATGCACCTTCCGGGAGGGGGCGAAAAATGTCAGACTTTTGGACCCGTTTTGTCTCCGTAGTTCTTCCTGTGTTTCCTTTTATGGTCCTTTTCCTGTTCTTGTTTAGTTTGATTACTTTATGATTACATGCACCTGTGTTCCCCTGATTGCCCTGTGTTTATAAGCCCCAGTCTGTTCAATTTGTTTTTTGGGGTCTACTTGTTGTGAACGTCATCCTTGCGCTCTGTGTCTCCCATTTGGATCATTAAAAGACTCTCGTTCTGTGAAATCTCCATGTATCCTCATTTCCTCGTGCCCGTGCTCCAGCGGATTGTGACATGTCTATGGTGAAAGTATTACAAACTCCATTCCCCAAGGGATTGTGAGCAATTTTAGCCTAGACACTTTATGAAATCATCACAGTGTAATTTCAGATGCACTAAGACCTACAATGTCACACTATTTAATATCAAGTAAGTACCATGCTAACTGTGTAAAAAATAGAAAAAGAAACTCAAATGTGGTTTGCTAGTTTAAGTTAGATAAACTGGTCTAGATAAGATGGTGAAAAGTGCCCCTCTACATCTATTAAGTCAGCTAAGAGCAACAAGGCTTGTTTATGGAGATTTTTTTTTCTAAAGAGATGCAGATAGGGATTTACACAGGGTTTCTTGTGGCTCTTCAGAATTACATAAACACACAATGCCCATGACTGATTATATAACTGTGCTCAGGCTCAGATCAAAACCTGGAACATATAACAATACTTACCACTCTCTAGTACTGCCATGTTGGAAATGTTGCTTTTGTCCGTCTGATGTTCCGAAGCCACTGATGTGAACTCAACATCACCTGCATTTAGGATCCCAGCTAAGGTACTGTAAACGCTCCCGAGCTCCTAATGAAATTATGACATAAAAATAATACCACGGTTGGTTATATCAACGGATAAATAAAATGCATTAAATAAAAAATCCTACAGAAGAGATGCCAGGCATAAATTAGATGATTTATTACATGACATCACATCTAATAGCATCTATGTTTAAGCATCCCATCCAAGAGGAATGAAACTGCTACATATTTCTGCAAATGTAGCATAGCAGTTAATATCTAGTGACACACTGCCAAACCTGTCTATTCGATTAGGTGGATTCCCTAAAGAGTACAGTGTTCCGTAATGTCAAAGTCATGTCCCTCACAGGCCTGTGATTATTCCTGTCTCCCTTGAGAAATCGAAAACTAAACTGACAATACAGAGACAGAGTAAGTTCTCTAAGAAGATTTAGATGTTGGCCTGGGGGTAGTTCTGTGGTATAATTCACAACAGTGTTTCCAGAACTAAAGTTTCTCAGTACACCAATTTTTTTTAAAAGGAATATTTATTAGGAAAATAATATACTTCTAAATGTAATGTAATAGTGAAAAATAGTGATGAAAGTGTACTCACTTTAAGAACACTTCAGTGGCTTTTTATTTCATTAATATTATATTATCTGCAAGTACAGGCTATTTTTAATATTGGAAGTACACTACACATTCAAAAACAATTTAAGGAATCGTTTGAGGAATAGAGCTAAAAACGTGGACATTCAAGATGTAGATGAGTTTGTTTCTTCATGGGAAAAGATTTGGAGAAATTTAGCATAACATCACTTGCTCGCCAATGGATCCTCTGCAGTGAATGGATGCCGTCAGAATGAGAGTCCAAACAGCTGATAAAAATAACACAATAACCCACAAGCTTCTGGCTAAAATGCAAGTCCTCTTTCACATAATTTTGCTTTCTTCAGTGAAAAAGCTGTCTGTATCAGGAGAGAAATATGCACAGATGAAAGTGAAAACAGTCCAAAACCAAGTAGAAACAGATCTAAAAAAATATGTCGGCATATTTTGATGTGAGAGGACAAAAGGGGATGGACTTTTTCCATTGGAGGAAGCGGTATTATGAAGTTTGGACTCTTGTTTTGCCTTAATGATGGATTAGTTTTGTACAAACACACAGCTTTTCACTTCACAAGATGTTAATTGATGGACTGGAGTCGTGTGGATTACTTGTGGATTATTGTGATGTTTTTATCAGCTGTTTGGACTCTCATTCTGACGGCACCCACTCACGGCAGAAGATCCATTGCTGAGCAAGTGATTTACCAAATCTGTTCCGATGAAGAAACAAATTCATCTGCATCTTGGATGGTCTGAAAAGTTTCTGCAAATTTTCCTTTAAGCGCACTTCTTTTTTACAAGAATTGAGATTAATCTCAAAATTACACTTTGATTTCAAGCTAGTATGTATATGAAAAGCTAATGGCTTATATTCCCTAACAAAAAGCATTAATACAATATATTTTAGTTTTCTTATATATATATATACAGTATGTGTGTGTACAATTCGGAAGTTCTAAGCGGCCATGCATTATTTTTTTTTCCTTCTTGTTTTCTCGTTATAACGACTTATTTTCTCGTTATATCGAGATAACGAGAGTTGTTTTCTTGTTATAATGACTTATTTTCTCGTTATATAATATAATATAACGAGAAAACAACTCTCGTTATGTCGATATAACGAGAAAATAAGTCGTTATAACAAGAAAACAACTCTCGTTATGTCGATATAACGAGAAAATTAAGTCATTATAACGAGAAAACAACTCTCGTTATGTCGATATAACGAGAAAATAAGTCGTTATAA